CCCAAAAAATGTTGCAGAAATTGAAGAACTTATTGTTGAAGACCCACATATATCAATTAAAACATTAGAGGAATTAATGGGTATTTCTACTGAGAGAATTCATTATATTTTGCATAATGAATTGGAAGTTTCAAAAGTATGTGCAAAATGGGTCCCACATGTCTTAACTGAAGAAAATAAGGAAAAAAGAGTTGAACTTTCTGAACAGCTTTTAGAAATTTTGGAGAAGGGTTTTAATAACATAGTCACTGGTGATGAATCTTGGTTTCACTACTTTACAGTTTCAAGCAAAGAGGCTAATAAAGTTTGGATAAGTAAAGGTGAAAGCAGAACACAAATCACAAGGACAGTGTAAACGTTCAATGTTTAAAAGCAAAATAAGTAATTTAATTATTGTAAAATTACAAAGTTATCTTTTATTCACTTAAATTCATGTCCTTTTTATAAGAATACATAAGATTGATAATATAAATAATAATATAAATAAAATATAAACTAATATAAATAATAATATAAACATAATATAAATAATAATATAAATAAAATATAAACTTAATAAACTTATCAATCTATCCGGATGATTATTGGACATAGGTATAAATAGTAATAAGATAAATAGTGTAATTAAAACAACGCGAATAATAAATGTTACAAATAAAATTAATGATGTGTCACGTTATTAAATTGAATGTTACACATCCACGAAAGTAATTATATCGCGTTAAATTGTTACAGACAGCAAAAAACGAATGTTCTGCATTTTTTTCTCAACAGAAGGGATTGTGACTAGAATTGTGGTACCAAAATGACAATCAGTTAATGTTAAATACTATAGTAATATCATTTTGTCAGATGTATTTTCAAATTGGAAGGTAATGACAAACAAAAAAACTGTAAAAACTTTGATGTTGCATCATGACAATGCATCATCACACAAGGCAAAAATTGTAGCAGAATTTTTGGAGGAAAACAAAGTAACTGTACTGCCTCACCCACCCTACAGTCCAGATCTAGCACCATGTGACTTTTTTCTATTTCCTAAAATAAAAAAAGAATTGGGTGGAAGAAAGTTTGATAAGGTGGAAAATCTTGCATGTGCTATCCAGTCAATTGCTGATAATATCCCAAAAGAGGAATATCACAAATCTTTCCAGGAGTGGCAAAGAAGGCTGAAATATTGTATAGATGCCAATGGGAATTATTTTGAAGGAATGGTATAAGTTTTTGGAAATGGAATAAGCTTTTGGAAATTGTATATATGTTGACTGAAATACAAATCCAGTCTATGTAATTTTTAAAATTTAATATCTCAATAACTAGCCAATAAAAAAGGGCAAACTTATTTTTATTTGAAAGATAAGAATGACTAATTTTTATAAAAATATTTTCAAACTCATTACGTTTTTTTCCAACAGTTAATTATAGTTTGACTTGTAACTTTTTCCCAAGCTTTTGCTGTATATTTAATTGCATGTTTAATTGAAATTTTTTCAGGTTCTTGGCCATTCCTTTCTTCTTCATAATCACTAATTTTTTTTTGTAAAAAAAATTTTTTGTAATTTGCCTTAAAGCTATTAATTATTCCAGCATCACATGGTTGCAAAAATGCTGTTGTATTTGGTGGTAAAAAGTGGACTCTTATGTTAGTTAAATTTATTGATTCAGAAATTGAATGGGTAGGAGCATTATCTAATAATAGTAAAATGTTTCTATTCTGTTTCATCATTTCATTATTTAAATCTTTTAGATAATCATTAAAGATGGAGGTTTGCATCCATGCTTTAATATTCCAATAATATTTCACTTTCAAGGTATCTTTATTAATCTTTCCAATTGCTCTTGGATTTTGATATTTATGGATCAAAAGAGGTTTTAGTTTTTCTGTTCCATTGGCATTACAAGTTAACATTATAGTAATTCTTTCCTTTGATTTTTTTCTTCCAGCTACTTGCCCTGTAGACAATACTCTAGAAGGTTCTAATTTCCAGAATAAGCCTGTTTCATCTGCATTGAAAATATCAGATAATTGATATTGGCTTGTAATACTTTTAATCTGTTCTCTGTATGTTGGTAACTCTGAAATAGGGGCACTACCAGCTTCACCATGTTTTACATATTCTTTAATATTATGCCTTTCTTTAAATCCACTAAACCAACCTTCTGATTCCTTAAAATCATTTTCATTAAGAAGCTCAGCAAAAGTCATTGCCTTTTCCTTTAATATATCACCATTAAGGTCTAAACGTGCATCAAGTGCTTGCTCCATCCAAATAGCTAATGCTTGATCAATATCATCATATAATAAATTTCTTCTTTTTTTATTAGCATCATAAGATTCATTGTCAATTGCAAGCCATTTTTCTTTTTCTTTTAAAATATCACCAACAGTACTTTTGCCAATATTATAAGTATTTACCAGTTCTTTATTTGTGAGAAATGGTGATGTCTGTTTGGTTAAACAAAAAATTTTTTTTTTGTAAAGCAGTTAAAGATTTTCTTTTACTTAAAGACATTGTGGATTAGGGTATTAATCAGAGTATAATGATAATTTAAATTCTTTATTAAAGATTTTATGAACAATACAATTTTTTCAGATCAAAAAATTTATAATAGATTTGATGCAAATTGGGGTCTTTATATATTTTTGGAGTATTAACATCATGAAGTCATGGAAGCAGTTCTTATGTTGCATTTACCAACATATTTTACATATTCCATCATTCTTATTTCATTATTACTTCATATATTGTAATTATTCAAACAACTTTCATCATTGCTTGTAATTGAAGAATCATAGTTAACATCATTATGACTTGGATTCATAATATAGTTTACTGTAAATGTATTGTTGATATGAAAATAAACATACAATAGGCGAAATTATATTATAATATAATGCAGTCATAATTTATTCGTATTATTAATATTAATAATATGATGTGATGTGGTACAGAAAATTTCCCAATTTAGCAAGATAATGATCGTCAGCCGTTATAGACAGTTATATAAAACATATAGGTGAATTTCAGAGACAGGCCGTTATACACAATAGAAAATTTAATTAAGAAAACCATTATAGAGTAAGGATTTTATATAGTAAAAAATTGGGATCCAATTCTCAGTTCGTTATAGAGTGTAGACCGTTATAGAAAGGGCCGTTATAGAGAGAGTGTACTGTACCACTAATTTTAATGAAAAAGACATATTTTGTCAAATATTATTATTATACAAACATTATTTGTCACTTTGTAATTTAAAAAATAAATTGTTGCATAATAATAAATAATATTACATGAAATGACTATTATGTTCAGTAGCTGCTTTTTTCTTCTTTGGAGTCCACCAAGGATCATGAACATAATTAGTTAGAGAATGCATTGGTTTGATAGGAACATTAACATCATTTTTAAAAATTCTGTCAAATTCATTATGATTTGTCTCCAGATCATTTACTGTTTTATTAAATATGTTATACATATCCTATTCAAATAGTAAAATTAGACACATAAATGCCTACAATATGGTAAAGAGGAGAAGAATAACAGAACTTACCATTACACACTTGATTATTCTTATTGCCAAATTCAACTTATTAATTTGATTGATCCTAGTTGGTAATTGTAATTTTAGACCTGGGTGAATAACATAAAACCCATTTACCAGACATTGTACCAACATTTGACCATTTACTCCAGCAAATTGAATATATGGAACTCTTGTGGCTCGTGTCTGATCATCTGTCAAATCCAACCTCAGAAATCCATTAAATATAGATTGATTTACTCTTGCTGATCAGCAGCGATCAGTGATAACTTTGACATCAGTTGCATGAGCTGCAAATTCCCACTCACCTAAGTCTTTTCCTGTTGAAGATAAAAATCTTATGTCACATCTATGCAGGGTTGGCAAATTGACTAGTCCATTGAGAACTGATGGACTTTGAGCTGGTCCATTGCCATTAATAAAATACTAAATATAGTTAAAATGTTACCCAATAGACCATCAATGGACCACCAATGGACCACACATTCACCAACCCTGCATCTACAACCCTTGGTGTAACTTTGTGATTGGCTTGGTGGACAAAATGACTCCCCACTTTGTATTTATATAAATGAAAATAATTTGCAAAAAACTGAATGATTGGGCTTAACTAAATTACATTCAACTTACCACTTCTCTTGAATTTCAAGACCTTGATTAAGCAAATCCATAATATATGAAAAGGCATAGATGACAACATCAATTTCAGTATTCTTTTTGCTATCATAGAATAGCATATCTCTTCCATCCTTTGTTTTATAAAGGCTACAAATATACATATATATAATTATAAAAAATTGATTTGAAAATTAGAAATAGGAAATGATATCAATTATTTTAAAAAAGCAATACTCACAAGTCACAATATATTTTTGTAATTTTATAAATAGAGCTGCCAGTTGGTGAATTCGAATGTGTATCAATACATAATTTATAAGCAAGGTTAAAATCACCATCTGTATAACAATGAAACATGAATTATTTTCTTAATTACTTTTCTATCATGATATTATTAAAATGGTAATATTAAAAGATCTCAAGAAAACAAACCTCTTCCACTTGTGAGATGAATTGGTTAATTTCAGCAGGAAAATCTGGAACTATAATATCAAAGTCCTTGTCATGAGGTAAAGGGTCTGGAACAGAAATACCAGGCACCTTGACACCATCCTGAGGTAATGCTTTTTAAGTTATGCTGATTGGATTTATTTGATTATTAAAGGAATTGGTGTTATTTTGATAGTGTTTGAATTTTAAAGGTTTGGTAGTATTTGTCTCCAAGATTGATTGATTGTCTCTTTGCATTTCTTGTTGGGTTTCAATGAGTGTAGAAAGTTTTTGATTGCATTGAGGACATTTACGCTTCAAATTTTCAATTTCCTTTACACCACATTTAATACACCTTTTTTGTTTCCTATAGTAGAATTATTTAAAATAAGATTATCAATAAGATTTAGTTCACTATTTTTTTCTTCACATGCATCAGTTAAGAAATCGTGGAAAACCAATCAGACATATGGGCAGACAAATCGATGATTCTTGATGCTCCATATCTTAAATTCGTTTTTTCAATGGCAGAAAACTTATCTTTTGTGCCATATAATTTCACATTATTACAGACATTTTCATGATATATGTCTTCAACAGACTTGTTTGTGGGAAGTTTCCATTTAGTAATGATAATTGATTGAAATACACTTTCTAATGAAGGACAATCTTCTTCTTCTTCTTCTTCTACTACTACTACTACTTCTTCATCATCACAATTAGCATTATTATTATCATCTATTTTCCTTACTTTTGATGATGATGATGAATTTTCATCATGATCATCAATATTTTTAAAAAGGTCGAATATGGAATTCATGAATATCATAAGGGGGTCACACAGGGTCACACACTATTAAAATCAAGTGATCAACTCATGTTTTTAAGGGATTTTTTGCTGTTTTAATAGTGTGTAACCCCTTAATGATATTCATGATATTCATGAATAAAAACCCTACTAGGAACTCCATAAATTTTTTCCATTTCATTTATGTGTGATTTCAGCATTGTTTCAACATCAAGGCTTCTTGATGGACCTGTTAATGGGTTGTGACTTTGGCATATTGGTGTCACCGCAACCTAATAATATTCTCAAAGAGTGTAGATCATTTATGTGTTTGTCAAAATAATAAGGCCAAATGATATGTGATGATTCTAGTGCTTCAAGAACTTCCAAAGAAGCTACTCACAGACAAGGTTTGTTGGTGGAAGAAATGCAATGTTTCTGATAACTTTATCATCACAACAAATATCCATAATCATTTTACTGCTGGAATTGTGATTATAGAACTCGATTTCTGATTGAGTATTTCTTTCATGTCATGAGGACCAATGACAACTTCTATATTGTAGTTGTAAATATCTTCAATGCCTTTCACATTATTAATAGTGCATTTTAATTGAATTTTGATACAAATGTTTTTGTAATAAACCATTTTTGTTTCAGTCTTATGTTTGGTTTTCAATGAATTTAACCAGTTAATAGCTTGTGATGGAGTGGCAATTATATTCCAGTCAATTGGATTCTGAAAGCTAGGAAAATGATATCTTGCAGCTTGAGAACCAATCAAAATTGGATGTTGAAAAGAGGTGATATTGGTATTTTTAGGAATGGGATCAGGTAATTTTGTTAGAACATCAACAGCATTGTTAATATCAGATCCTAATTCAATTGGTTGAAGCTCAGTAACATCGGTTTTAATTTTCTTTTTAAGACTAAAGTCAAAACAAAATAAAAATAATGATGTAATGTTAACTAGAGTAATGCGGGCGATAACCACCACCATTCTTAAAACGCTTACCCGTGTTGTTCCTTGTCAGTTTCTTTTCTTCTTTTATTAATTTGTGTTTTTCTCATTTTTTAAATTAAATAAAAAAAAGTTTGTTATTTGATCGACACGTACACATTAATTATTTATCCTATTGGTTTTTTTTTTCTGGTAGGAAAGATGCAAATTGATTTTTTTTTTTTGGAAAAACAATTATTTTTTGACAGAGTCCAAGGTGACAAAACGTGAACGTTGTTGTTTGGTTTGGGTCTCCTAAAGAAAACGTGTTAATAACTAACCAGAGGTACTACTTTTTTTTACTTGTATTGATATGTATGAGGTGTCTTTTATTTTAGCTTATA